AGTGATTTTTAATCACTTAAAACTCACATGAGTATAGATATGCTCCGAACTGTACACATCAGGAACGATTACAGAACCTCCATAAATGATAGCCTTCGAAAGACGTGATGGAACTTGTGCAACAAAATCCTCTCCTCCTACCTTCTTCTCGTGCTTTATGAGGTTCATCCTTCTCTTACGAACATTTGCAGAAAAAAAATTTGCTCTGTTTATACTGTTAACTCTATGCAAGAAAACATCAATACAATGTAATTTAGCTTTCACACTATGACTTTTCAAACAAAACACTACTTATAGAAAAAGCAACCTAAGTACTTCATTAGATGGTAGTAAGATAGTGAATTAATGAAAGTATCTAAATGTCATTTCTATTTATTAAAAATAACTTCTGAACATAAAGGTCGTAATTCCAAATGACTACCGATGCATATCAGTCTTTAAAGATAAATGCTTGCGAAATCAATCTTTCTATCACTTTTTTGCTCCATTTTAGAAAAAAGAAAATTATGAGACATGACCCAAGAAGCCGCGGAAGATAAAAAAAAACACTAAAAAGCAGTATTAACTGATTCTCAGCTGAAGCTCAAAATCCAAAACAGTAGTGGAAGATTTAGCCACTTATTATAATATTCGTTATATGAAATTATTCACACAAACTGTACCTAATAATTTATTAAGAAAATATGCTTTTACATGCCATAATATGGTTTATTAGAATAAGCAGAAATCACAATGCTGTTAACACGTTCAATTAAGTGGAGAATAAACTTTATAAAGATATGCACGCTAAGTAGATAATGATTATTTTGATTATCTTTTAGCCTTATTAATCCGATAGTATAACCAGATCTTCCGAAGAATGGTCTTCCTTCCACACTTTTTCCACTTCTCCCATCACACGAAGACACTTCTCCTCTTCGAATGGAAGTGTCACAACTTGTACAGAAAGTGGTAATCCTACGCTTTTTGCTGCAGCATCACGCATGGTCTTCAAAACGATGTTGTAACCTAAAGCTGTGATTATTTGCAATAAAAAGTGCTCAGAAGGCCCTTCATAATCAATGCACCAGTAGGGAATTTAGCTTCATTCAGCAGATCATCGTCATCCTGTGCAGTCACTTTTCCAGCGGGAACAGCACCAGCAGGGAAATCTAGCAAATTGAAAAGAGCAGTGTAGGTTGCCGCTGTCGACATTCTTGAAGGATATTGGTGCGGAACAGCTGGCACTTAAAAAGCTATCTTACTCGATATGTATTTTGATGAAAGTGGCTGCGACAAAGTTTAAGTGGCAGTAAAAAAATCACAAACCAGGAAAAGTAGGACAAATCAATGCGTCGACTCCAAGCTTCTTCCAGTAATCGGTGAACTGCAAGGACAAATACAGAAAAGCATGAGTAACTGAAAAATGCCGCCTCTAATTTGGTAACCCAAAGAGTAACGCTATCAATTTTGACTTCAGTTTTACCCCATGCATATGGATTCGGGATTAACTGCAATATATGATAATCTATGGTCCATAATTTAATCTTTTTTGACCGTCAACTAATAATAACAGTTCTCTATTTCAAGCAAGTAGGCTGACACCCAAACAGTCAAAA